GTAGGAACTCGGTGCCGTTGGGGCTCAGGCCTTGCAACGAGTGAGGGTGGCCAGAGGGGAAGTACCATAGGTCACCCTTCTCTAGGTCATCGACGAAAGAGCCACCTTCAGGATCGAGAGCGGTGATGCGGACCTTGCCTTCGAGGACATATGCCCATTCGGCTTCCTTGTGCCAGTGGAGTTCACGAATGACGCCTTCCTCAAGACGCATGTTCACGCCGGCTAGCTCCTTGCTAGTACCCAGCTCGCGAACAGTCGTCTCGCGCGTCCAGCCACCCTCCTCGATACGAATATGCGAGTCGGCAAAGGACCATCGCATGTTGGGGATCGCGCCATGGTCGGTGCTGGGTGGGCGGACGAGATCTGGGTTTTGTCGTTCGCGCGCTCGGTTGCGAGGCCCTAGAACACTCGCTCCGTCACCATTGCGCTGGAAACTTTGTTAGCATGTTGACCATCATCGAGCTAGATATTCGTCGTTCCGCGGAGGACTGATCTCAATGATGGACTCACGTAGGGTAGTGGCTGAAGCTTGTCGCCTTGTGAATCAATCTTCTTGTCAAATGGATCATTGTTGCCAGGCTTGTACGGATTGAAGACTTTGTTAGGTCCTGCGTGGTGTCGCGCACTGCCAACCAGCGGTTGTTGTTGCTCCAATGGCGCAGCCACGGCACCACATACGCCAAGCGCGACCAATAACGACGGAAGATGCATGACGGCTTCAATTGACCTCAAGTGAAGAAGCTGAAGAGGATCGCGAAGTCGAAAGTTTATTCACCCGGCAGACGACGCCCTTTTGACATGCCGCGTGCATTGCGCGTCCTGCAATGCCGTGTGCCGATGACGACAGTCTAGCCATGATTATTTATGATGCTTGCTTGACACTAAGCAATCAACCATCCACTCCCACGCCATCTCCGCGCATCAATCACCATTTTTCCACGCACCATACCCACCGAAACCGTTTCCCCGCACACCAAACGCATTGCTTGTACATGTACAGCCACATCAGGAAGGTCTTCAAGCCACACGTCCTGAGATATCCTGCAATTGCCGCAGCGGGCGTCGAAAGCTTAACTGAAGCTTGAGTCGAAGTGCCTGTCGATCTGCACGCTGGCTCGCGTCTTCCCGGTTCTGCTGACGCGATTATCTGCACCCCGCCCCAACTGACATAACTACCGGTCCTCGCAGCCCTCCCAATATACGACTACACGATCTCCTCCCACGCGTGCAATCATGAGCAGCGTAACGCGCAGAGACGCCACGCGCAGCGGCGCAGACGAGGAAACGCCGCTTCTCGGCCGAAATGGACCAGCCGGCGGCAAATCGGACAGCAAGGGGACTATGCAGCGGCTCAAACGGCACATGAATGCCGATGTTACGAAGAACTGGGCAGATCTTGTTTTGCTGTGGTGCTACATTGTTACTGGGCTATTGGATAGCTCGGCTGTTTTCATATGGGGCTCTTTCGTGAGCATGCAGACGGGTGAGTAAGAGCGACATCTCTCTTGGACTAGATGCTTACTCAACATACAGGTAACACCGTCTATCTTGGCTTAGGCATTGTCGCACCTTCTGAGGGCATTCGCTGGATCAAGGCATTGACATCCATCGTCGCGTTCTGTGCTGGCTCGTTCTGCTTCGCGCGCTTTCATCGCTACTTCTCACCTGCCAAGAGATGGGTGCTCATCGTATCCTACATGTTCCAGACGCTACTCATTGCTGTCGCTGCATTGATCGCTACTGTCGGGAAAGACACCAAGGAAGGTCTTCATTGGCAGATGATTGTTCCGCTCGCTTCAGTCGCTTTCCAATCCAGTGGACAGGCAGTCACGTCACGCGCCCTGAAGTACAACGGTCTGACCAGTGTCGTGCTTACGAGCAACTACTGCGACCTCTTTTCTGACCCTCAGCTGTTCAAGATTTCGAACGTGGAGCGCAACAGGAGGATCGCTGCACCCGCTATGCTGCTGTTGGGAGCCTGCATTGGCGGATTGTACGCTCACAGCAGTGTAGGTCTTGCAGGTGCCTTGTGGACTGCTTGTGGGCTGAAGCTCTTGGCTGTCTTCGCGTGGGTCTTTTGGAAGTCGGAAGTCATTGTGGAAGAATGAAATGTCGCTGCGACAAGAAAATCTGGTCGTCCTATAGAGGCCGTCCTGTTGGTCTCAGTCAGCCACACCCAACCATGGTACCACCGTCGCAACAAAACCTACTCTATATTATTTTTTATGCTGCCCACAGCCGTTTCCAAACATTACTCATCCATCTTTTGGACTTACATCTCGATAATTACCTCTGCCCGAAAACAACCCGTGTCTTCAATACAAGATGAAGCCCAACAGACAGGGTGTTTATGGCTTCGTCAAGAACCGCGATGTGCAGCCACTGCTCAAGTCGGAACTTCGAGGCCTTGCTAGCATCCAAGACCGCCTTGCTGAAGCCACGGTGGTAGCATTCGATATAGAAGGGGTCCACCAGCGTGGTTCAGAGGCGAGTGAGCTTGGAGTCGCGGTACTACGACCGAGTTCGAAGCCACTTCGCTTCTTCTCGTCTATGTATCACTTCTACAATCAGAACGAGATCGAGGCATTTACCATTCGCATTCAAGAACGGCGATACGGACCTGCTGTTGGAACCATGACCGACGAGACCAAGGAGACTGCTGGCGCAAGACTGTACAAGCTCTTGTCCTCCATCCAAGGCGAACTTATATTGGTTGGTTTTGGCATGACGAGGGAATTCAAATGGATCAGCGATGAGTTTCCGGCCATCGCAGCATTGTTCACTTCTTGGTGCGATGTACAAGAGCTTGTCAGCGATTACTACAAGAGCATGACCGCCGAACCCGACAAATTACTCATTCAATATCGTCAGCCCAGTCTAGATCGAGTCATGAAAGCTCTGAAAATAATTGGATGGCGCTCCAGGCATCAGAAACATGGGGCCGCTGCCGATGCCGTCAAATTTCTGGCTGTTCTTTCCGCACTCTTTTCTGGAAGGGTTTTGCATGACATACCCAAACCAAGCATTGGCCGCTTATCACGTCTCCCACACAAGAAGTATGATGAATATAGTGGGAAACGAAATGCGCGTATTACCGCGTGGGATGGAAGTAAACTGCCTTTGCAAACACCAAACGGTTTAGCGGATTTCTGCGCTCACCATCATGGGTTATTTGCTGTGGCCCTCGATGCAATTGATGTAAACTTGGCAAGAGACAGAAAAAGGATATGGTGGGTATCGTTTCTAACACAAGACGCGCTCGACGAGTTCATTGCCAAAGTGCATGGGTCGCTTTACGAGGGAGTGAAACTGTTCGTTACATCAATGGCTCCACCAAACAAGTATCTAGCCGCCAAAAGGTCGAATCAAATGCCTTGGAAACAGCCGAGAACCGTCAGTAGGTACGATGGCGATGATCTGATAGCAGCTTTCGAGTAAGTCAAGGAACCGACATCGACTCGGATACATTCGGGCTAACGTTTATAGCATACTCAGCACCACAGGTGAATATGAAGAAGAGGCACAAAACCAGTAATATGCGCCTATAACAACGAACTAAGTCCTGGAGTCACATACCGTTACCGATGCGTTTGCTACCTCGCGTACTATCTCCGCAACTCGGACAAACGCTCACCTGGCTCCGCGACACCGACGCAAACAGTTCTGCCGTTGGCTGCCTACAGCCTTCCGGTTCTGATACCGCTCCAACACACAAGCACAACACTCACCAAAACTTGCAATCTTAACCGCGAAGGATGGCGCTCGAATCGCTGAAGAGGTCCTTCGGGACTATGATGAGTATTAAGAAGAAGAAAGAGCCATCCGAAGATTCTATCATGACAACCGACTCTCCCGGTCAAAGCTTTGGCAGCCTAAGCTCGTGCGCCATGTCCATTGATAGCGAAGACGCTCCACAAGACAGCGGCGTCGACATCAAAAGTCCACCAGTACCGCCTCCCAACACCCAGTCGGATCAGTATAACGACACCGACACTGTAAATCTGCACATCAACCCCAACCCTATCAAGACGACAACCCAAACGCCCGCCACTACCCCAACATTCACCGGCCTCCCTCCCACCATCCGCGCACTAATCTGGTCCTACGCCGCTCCCGCCCCGCGAACCCGTTTCCTCGAACTCCACACTTACAACACCATTGACCACATCCCACGTCTCCGCTACATTCCCCCACTCCCACCGCTCTTCTCCACCAACCAAGAAGCCAGAAACTTTAGTATCTCACATGAAGGTGGGGAGCTCGTTCATTTCACTTCGGAGAACTTTACCGCTTTATTCTCCTTCCACGGCCGGAAGATCGGCGGAGAAGAACAGGAAAAGAAGTTTTACTTCAACTTTGACAGGAACATTATCTGGTTGAGTGCGAGATTCACAGCTGCGTGCAATACCACCGAGACAGTTCGTCTGCAAACACTGTCTTCTATCCTGCCGCAGGCCAGTCTATCCCGTATCCAACGCCTCGTCATCTCATACTCGGGCCTGGACTCGTATGCGCTTATCGGTCCTTATCTACGCCCATTTGCGCATCTTGAGACGCTGTATCTATGTATGAACGATGCGCGCATCAAGGAGAATGTGAAACGGTTGCTCAAGAAAGGTGACCCAGCTGGTGGCGTGACGGCGGACAAACTGAAGAGCATGATTGAGCAGACTGAAGCTGACGAGACGGACGACGATGAGGAAAGCGAGGATTTGACAACGGAGAGGTTGGCGGTTAGAGCGAGGAGAAGGGTGCTAGAAGTGTATCTGAGGCTAGAAGAATAGCGGCCGTATTGTGATCTTGATTTGGCTCCACAAGGGCATTGGATGATACCCAGTGGGTAGATTACGTAGCATGTGCTCATACAATCGATACCAGAGACTCATACAAGCAAAAAACCGAACAAGCCTGGAGCCTGCATTGACGTTAGGTCACCTATTTTGCATGTTTCCATGTTGATGTAGGCTGCAGACCTGTTTAGATTCCCCTAGGTTGAGGTGCTAAACGACCATATCACCCAAGCTTGGCGACTCGCCCATCCTGCGCTTTGACAACTCAAAGCTCAATACAGTATGATCCATGTAGTACATCATCAAGCGCCATCGGCGAGGCTGGAGCGAGAGCAAGCCCCGTTGATCCGGTACTTCGATATTTTCTGAAGTGTCAAACATGCCTGTATACCTGTGAGTGATACACACGAGAGTACTCATCATTGCCTTACCTTGTACAGGCGCGACAGCCACACCAAGCAGTCGTTCGTTCGGCCCTCCCGCTATCTCCGTCTCATTGCCCGACCGGAACGGCAGAAGGTATTCAAGTTTGAAGCCATACCGTGGATCACCAGTGTTCTGGTCTCTAGTGTAGTATAGACTAAAGACGCCGACACGACCGGCCGGAGATCCGACTATGAAGATGCCCAGCTCGGGTATCTGGGAGAAGAAGCAGTGTCGGTCGCAAGACATGAGGGAGTCTACCCATCGGCCTGGATGTAGCGGTCGTCTTATCGCGACGATGGGATTGAGAGGCACATTGAGTGATGTTGCGGAAAGGCCTTGGATGAGGAATATGTCCTCTTTGGTGAAGATTAAGAATGGGCCACCCATCTGTTCTGCGATAGGCCTTAAGTCATCAATCAGGCGATACGGCGCTCTGTTAGGGCTGCGCAATGTTCCGGGCCGAATAGAAGACAACAGCGTCTCACTTATACCAAACTGCGCTGTGTGTTAGTCTCCTAACGTGTCTTTAACTCTAAAAATGAACGAAGAGGAGATTTGTTCCTCGTAATGCTGCACCTTATACAAGAAACAGCAGAACAGGTCTAGAGCCTACATCGACGCTGCGTCACCTATCTTGTAGGTTTTTATGTTGATGTAGGCTGCAGGCCTGTTTAGGTTTTTTCTTGGTTGACGTGGCTATACCCTCTGGCTACGCCCTGATTGGATGCAGCCGACAAAAGATTGCTTTATATGCCATATTGCAAAAGATACAGTAGAGACTACACTTACGGATTGAGCCAACTCCTCAAACGTCATCCCGAGAAGCTGGTGATTCGGATCAATATCTTCTTCGTCGTTATCTGTCTCGTTCGCTTCGCTGACTACTTCGATTTCTTCGTCATCTGTACTGTCCTCTTCGTCGTCTGTGTCGGGATGATATTGATAAGAGGTGGTTTCGGAAACTTTGAAACGTTTCTTCTGATCGGAGACATCTAGGAAGTCGCTTGCAGTCATGTCTTCGTCCAACGGTAACTCGTATGCGGATCGCGTGTCCAACGCTATAGTACCCCAGGCTCCGTGGAGAACATTTTGCGCGCCCGGACAGTCGCACAGGAATCTGTGAGATATGTAACGAGGCGGCTTCGAGAGATCGCTTGCGCTTGCGCACCAGCCTAACTGGAATGTAGCCACCTCCTGCTTGGTGTACAAGTCCCACATCGATGTCTTGCCATCAATGCAGCTGCTCAAAAGCCAGCGACCGGAGTCACCGTAGAACGATACTGCGGGAACATTATTCGTCGCCTGAAGGGTAAAGACATTGTTCTCTCTTCTGCTGTGTGGGAAATCAAGGTTGGTATCGTGGTCTGAGACTTCCAATCCGTTATCGGAAGCGAGCGCAAATGCGATTATCGTTATCTGATGAGTGTTCTGTTGAGGTCAGAGGGGTAGAATGTATGTGAGGATCAAAGATTGTCATTACCGCACTGATCGCAATCATGCGAGTCCTGCGCTGTACAGCCAAGCCCCAAGCACTTCTGCCGACATTGGAGCGAAGAAACACATGGACACCGTCCTCGTCAGCAGGCTCCTGCACGTTGGTGCGCCGTTCCAACGCTCGGTGGATCTCTCGAGTTCGATATATAATAACGTCGCCATCGTCGCAGGCGAGCATGAGCATCTCTTCGTTGCCGATATAGTCGACCAAGATGCGACAGATAGAGTGAGGATTTGACGGATCAATTCCATACCCACGAGTGCCAGTTCTTGGCGGGTGCAGCACAAGTTCAGGCTTATCAGATAAACTCTGGTCGGGGAAGCTTGGTTGATAGACATGAAGCTCATCGACAGAGGCAAGAAAGTAGAGGTTATGTTGATGCGAAAGGCCCGTCAAGTCGCAACGCCAATCTCGCAAATCTGGCGGCGCGACACCATCGGCGAACTACTCCTGGTCAGCGGCAATCTCAGAAATTAGAATATCATTGGGGCGGCAGATTCTGAATGTGAATTGTGTAGTTGTGTTGCGCTTTAGCGTCACGGTAGACTCTCGCCATGCTCACAGCGACTCAGTAGGACGTGGGCACGCATGCAACTCACCCGTTTTTCTCCGCGGTGATCACCCGTTGGTATACAGGCGATATGTGAGGACATGGTGAATACCGCATTCTTGCTCGAAAGGTGGTATTAATGGTGCGAAGTTTGTGTCGGAGAGAGAGCTTGTGGTGGTTGGTTGTGACGTGAGCTAGCGCCATCCTACCAAGGTAGGTACGGCCCGCGGCTGGACGTGTACCACGTGCTAGTGCATTCACCATTGTACCCCATACAAGGGAAAAACACCCTAGAGCCTACGTTGTCGTTGGGACACCTACTTTGCATGTTTTTATCTTAATGTAGACTCTAGGGTGTTTATTTTTCGCCTTGTATAAGTTGACTGCTCAAGTATAAGAAGAAGAAGCGGGCACGGAAAATAAGTCGGTTATGGAAAACGGGTTATACTCAACACACAGTTCGTGGTATGGAGCAGCGGTTGAAAATAGGCCTCAATGTCACGAGACTTGCAGCCTGTTCGGTATTATAATCTTATAGCGCTATGAACGTCATAGTTATATATGTCTCTAGTCATGCTTTCTCGTCCCAAGACCACGGCCGATGCCAGACCACTTGCATAGATCTTTCATAGAACATCAACCCCGTTAGATCCAGTATCCGAACGCCGTCTAATGCTTTGCGGTGACCTTGTCGCCAGTGAGCTTCTCAACCGCCTCCTTGGCACTAGATATTCGTTAGCAGAGGTTTAAAGAGCGACATCGCCAAAACTTACACATCGCCCAGAGCAACCATGCAGACCGTCTGCCAAACGCCAAGACCGATTCTAGGAGTAACGCCACGGTAAAGACCCTTGATACCGTTGTTCGAGTAGATGTACTTGAACGCAGATGCAACATTCAGGTTCTTGGGGCGGTTGGGGTCAACAGTCTTGGACTGAAGCTCCACGCGGATAACCTCAATGGGCTGGTTCCACGCACTCAAACCACCACCGAGAGCCGAAGCGGTGATCTTCTCAATCACGCTGAGCTTCTCGCCGTGCTGCTTGTCCATAACCTTGCGAATACCGGTTTCCGCAACACGAGACAGACCGAAGCGGGATCCCCAGTTGGTGACCTGGCGCACCGCGACGGCGTTGACACCACGGTTGATACCGCGGAGACCCTCCGCGCGCCAGATGCCCATGAATGTCTCGAGCGTACCCGGAGGCTTCGCACCGGTGGCTGCGACCTTGTGCTTTGTAATCTCGACCGTCTTCATGCAAGTGCAGAAACCCATGGTGGCATAGGCTTGAGCGAGACCACCCGTCATACCACCAGAGATACCGGCGAGGAAGTCGGGGGCGCCGAATGACTTGGCGTAGTATTCGGCTTCGGAAGCGACGAAGAGAAGGACGGCTCCTTTGGTGGAGGCTTCGATCCAGGCCCATGGAATGAGACCCTGGTAGACTGTTCGATGATTAGTGGGATTGTCTGGAAACTGTAGAATGCATACTGACATCCAAGAACACCTCCACGCGCCCAGATGCGACCAATGGCTCCCGAGAAGCCTTCAGACCTGTTGGCAGCCATGGTAGTCTTGACGACCTCCAACGGCTATCATCGGTCGTTAGTGTGCTTCCGGCGAAGTTTGTTGCCTGAAGTTGCATACCTGTCCCAGAGTTGTCACTCTGTCATCTTCAGTCAGCTTCAATTGCGATCTTGGTGGTGAAGTGGGATGTTTACTTACTCAAACATGTTGAGACCAGCACCAACTGCGCCTACAGTCAGCACACATTCCACTCTCTATCAGCACGCAAACTCACGCAACAGATTGCTAAACTTGACCGGCTTCTTCTCGAGCGATGGCGGGCCGTTCCTCGCCATGCTGGGGACGCCCGTCGCAGGTGTGGAGCTCATTCTCTGGGATTCTCTTGTCGAAGATATGCGGCCTGACCAAGGCAAAAGGGTGCTCCGTCGCAAATGTGAGTAGTATCAAGTGTGTGAGCAAAGCGAGGAAAGGGATGCATAGAAAAACGGTATAAGCTTGCGAGGTGGTCTGTGTTGCTGGTTGACCGCCGTCCGGGCGCGCTATAATTGGGGTTGTCCCTGAGGCTATCGGCCACTTGGCGGAAGGGCCATGTCCCGCAGCTGCTTCCCATCCGCGGCCATGTACCGGGCGAGGGGTCTAGCATTGCTTTTGCCTCCAAGTACTCTCCGACACTCACTTTCTACTACAAGTATGCTCAGGTTTGCTTTTGCGATTCCATGTACAGCTATGTAGTACACCACCTGAACAGCGAATTGTTGGGTCGGATTGGCGTCGGGTCGCACTGGAGAGCTCAACGATCCGCATCGGTTCCCCATCGCTCAACGAAAGCTACCCACGCTCCGAATATCCCGGTTACTTATCTCACCGTTCGTTGCTTTTTGCGCCGATGCGATTGGGCCAATCTCATACACCTGAAAATGACCCGAAGGCACTCACCACGGTTTCATCGCAACAGACACATAGTATGAACTTCATGGAGCGTAGATTTCTGATCATCAAGACGTGAGAATACAGCAATTCGTTCACTAAAATGTAGTGATGTAGCGCCGTAACGCTCCCATTCCCTATCCTTACATTGCAATTCTACACAGGACAAGGTATCTCTGAATGTTAAACAAATTCCTCCACATTCTCCTGGCCGTAGAGCACGTTGCAGTAACGCGCTTACAACTTAGCACCAACCAACTTGGCGTAAGCCTCAGTGCTGAAAGACTTGGGCCTCTCGATGGGGGCACCGACGGCACGGTCAATGATGAGCTGGGGAAGGACACCGAGCGCACGGGATACACCGAAGAGGACGGTGTAGTAGTTCTGCTCAGTGAGACCGTAGTACTGGAGGAGAACACCGGAGTGGGCGTCGACGTTGGGGTAGGGGTTCTTGGTCTTGCCGTGCTCGGTGAGAACACCGGGGGCAATCTTGTAGACCTGGCTGACGAGCTTGAACATTGGGTCGTCGGGAAGGTGCTTCTGGGCGAACTCGCGCTGGGAAACGTAGCGGGGGTCGGTCTTGCGGAGGACGGCGTGGCCGTAACCGGGAACGACTTGGCCAGCCTTGAGGGTGGACCACAGGTAGTCCTTGATGGCCTGGTCGCTGAGGTCGTTGCCAATAGCCTTCTTCATCTTCTGGAGCCAGACAAGGACTTCCTGGTTGGCCAGTCCGTGGAGAGGACCAGCAAGACCGTTCAGACCAGCAGCCAGGGACAGGTAGGGAGAGCTGAGAGCGGAACCAACCAAGTGGGTGGTGTGGGCGCTGACGTTTCCACCCTCGTGGTCGGTGTGGATGGTGAGGTACAGGCGCATCAGCTCAACGAAGTCCTTGTTCTCGGAGAAACCGAGCTGGTTGGCCAAGTTGAAGGAGTAGTCCTTGTCCTTCTGGATGGGAGCAACCTTGCCGTCCTTGTAGATGTTGCGGTAGATCTTGGCGGCGAGGGTGGGGAGCTTCGCGATGAGGTCCATGGCGTCCTCAAAGGTGTGCTCCCAGTACTGCGACTTGTGCATGCCCTTGGCGTAGGCCTTGGCGAAGTTGGACTCGTGCTCGAGAGCAGTGACGGCGAGAGAGAACTGGGCCATGGGGTGGAGGTCGCTGGGGCAGCGGTCGATGAGCTCTTCGACGAACTTGGGGACGTCGGAGCGGGCAGCCCACTCAGCGGAGAGGTCGCGGACCTGCTGCTCGGAGGGGACCTCGCCGGTGAGGAGGAGCCAGAAGAGACCTTCGGGGAGAGGCTCCTGGCCGCCGGGGGCCTTGGGGAGGAGCTCCTGGCATTCGGGGATGGTCTTGCCGCGGAAACGGATACCCTCCTCAGAGTCGAGGACGGATCCCTCCCAGACGAGCGACTTGATGCCACGGGCACCACCGTAGACCTGGTCGAGAGTGACCTCGCCGACAACAGTGTTGCCGTGCTCCCTGGGATATGATGTCAGCGGTGCACTGGGGTGGGCGC